TGCTCTATCAGGACTCTATGAAAATGGCAGCGTCTGCCACAACCAACAAGTTTAAGCAACAAGCTCGATCCGCACCTGGGGAGAATATTTTTCTCATTCTTATTTATTTCTTAAAAAATTTTCTGTAGTTTAGTATTATGAGTCTTAAGTATATTGGATATTGAGAGAAGGGCATGTATACAGGATATAGAGTGCTTGTATTGAAAGTGCCGCCATTTATGCATATACACTTCTTGATACAATGATTTAGATGTATCAACATTCGCTTGTATACTATTGGTCGTATTAATTTCTAACTTACCGACAAGTATAAGAGTCATATAACTACTATGTTAAGCTTAGGTGAAAGACAGCTCTAAAAATAAAGAATGAGAAACTTATCTAAACTTATGGTGCGAGTGAATATACAGCTCCTCGATAGCTCAAGTGGCAGAGCAACTGTCTAGTAAATAGGAGGTTGTGTGTTCGATCCGCACCCGGAAAGGATATTTTTCTCAGTCTTATTTATTTTTTAAGAAATTTTCTTGAAAAAGAAACTGTGTGGTTTAGTANAGGAAAAAAAATTGTTTTAATATATATTTTTGGGAGTTTAAAATCTTAACAGCTTAAAAAAATAGCCCTTTTCGTAAATTATATGGGAGAAACTGCAAATCAACCGCTTCTTATGGCCAACGATTATTTTATGGCATAAGGAACGCATGGTACTTTTCAGCATAATTATAATTTTTTAATTTTTACAGCTTATTATTTGACCAAATAAATTGTATGGATTGCGAAAAAATATGTTTTTAATAAGAAGATTTTTGTTCTGACAAGTGTCAGGAATAAATGTAAAATTTCTAACTAAAAATGTTTCACATTATATGTCAACACACTACGGTGTTCCATTTAGTAAGTCTCGGGCGAAGCCGAGTCGGGGGGCCGCTAGTACATCATGTCAGCACATTGTAAAAAACGTTGCGATCGACTTTTAGTTTTTATGATGTAAAAAACAGAAAGAGAGTTTCTACTTTTAGCTAGTTCTTAAAACCGTTACGATTGACTAGTAGTAATGATGATGATAAAAGACAAAGAAAGAGAGTCTCTACTGTTTACACATTTAGCTGATTTCTCTCATAGTGTAATATTACATTTGCCTTTTAGAAATGAATATCGAAAAATGTCTTCTCACACATTCTTTCTGTTTTTTTTTTTTTTTTTTTGCTGACCGTATTTTCGCTATATGTTTTTGGAAATTGAGAGTAAAAAATTGTACTAATAAACTTTGTCTTCGAGCAAAAGAAGCTATCAACGAGCTTTATCATTTTTGCAGTATTATTAAATTTCATGTATTTCAATGCTTAAAAAATTTGATCCAAGGTACGATACTATAACCAACAGGGAGTGAACTTCCTACCAGCAAGTAAAATAGTGGTGGCATTGCGTAGTGTAACAGAAAAGAGCGACGATGCACAATGAATACTATTTTGGAGATTTGTGTGAGACTTCAAGTACAAGCATAACCGTACATACACAGCGAGAGACTAATTAATGATACTATACTTTACAAAAAGCAGTATAGGATATATGTATATATACACCTGTATTATATAGTTATCTCGGTGGGTCATTCCACAAAACCCCCCTACACAGACCCCCATTCGCCCCCCACTGCCCCCTCCCCATACAATAAGGTGAAAACCTGTCATTTTCTCGTCATTTTTCTGTCATTAATACTACCAATAGTATACAAGCGAATGTTGATACATCTAAATCATTGGAGAGCAACTGTACCCGAGGAGGATATTTTTCTCATTCATATTTATTTTTTAAGAAATTTTCTTGAAAAAGAAACTGTGTGGTTTAGTATTATGAGTCTTAAGTATATTGGATATTGAGGAAAGGGCATGTATAGAGGATATAGTGTGATTGTATTAAAAGGTTCGCCATCTATACATATGCACCTCTTGATACAATGATTGAGATGTATCAACATTAGCTTGAATACTATTGGTCGTATTAATTTCTAACACTATTTTGTTTAAATTTACATGTAAATATCAAGTTCTTGGCACAAAAAGCTTTTTTTTGCTGATACTAGTGATAAACTATGTGAAAAATTTTAATTTTCACTTGACTTTATATAACATAGAACTAATACCTACATAAATTAAAAAAAAAACGTCATGGGTGATTCTGGCGTGAGAGGTTAAAAATGTTTCAAAGAATCGTTCAAAAAAAGTTGTTTGAAAAAAGTAGTTTTTATAGTAGCTCTACCCAAAATACTTCCCTCAACTAAGGCGATTTTACTACAAATTTGTGGGTTAATAGATAAACGTTATTTGGTGTAATATTTATAGGCCAACTTTAATCAATTTGCAAAGAAAACACGTCTTCTTCGAATGCATGTAGCTAAGCTGCTTGTACAGTTGAGGTGTTTTAACCTAAATGAAATAAAAGATAGGATTAAACCTTATCGATTCAAAAACAATTTCGTTTCATATAGCTGTTTAAATTGGATCAATAAAAATTGCTAAAAATAATATTTTGTAGATTTTTGCCAGAAATTCAAAATAATATAAAAAATCCTCATGACTTTCAATTGGTGGCACCAAATTTAACAAACTTGAAAGAGGACTACTAGTGTTGAAAAAGGAATCGGTATTTATCAATTTATCATACAAAAAAAGGCCAATTAGACCAAACGCCGAGACACGTGACTCATGTTGTATCCCAACAATACTGGAAAAAAAGTTTCGACAAGTTCCGATGCACGAAAGCTAGAAAAAGCTTTGGAGTGCTACTGTGGCTCGTAGACTTAAAATAAACGATTTTCCGCTTACAAAACATCTATTGTCAATAAATAGTGCAAGGAAAAAAATTCTACTTGTATGTGTGAGCAACAGAGTACTGGGGCTAGGGGTCGATGGAAGTGACTAAGATTTTTTTTACTCACGAAAATTAAAAATTAAAATATGTATTATTTAAAGAGATTGAAATTTTTGATAACCTTGGCTTGTGCTTTTGCCATGTGAGACAAGAAAAGTAACCACTAAAAGGTGTTACGAAGCAAAACAGTATGGTTTTCAAAATTGTTCCCGCTACAACTTATATTTCAATTCAAATCGTAGAGCGTTTGGTATTTGTCAAAAACTCTTGTTAATAGATAAAAAATTAATGTTATCATGGCATAAATAACCTACCACATCTATACTTAACAATGTTTGTGCGAGGATTTGGCAACAAAGCTTTTTTTTCTAAGTAGGAGCTTTTACGTGCGAAATTGAGATTAGAACAGTGTTTGGTAGTGATATTTTGATTACATTCTGTAAATTATCTCATTAAAGAGTTAACATGTCAGATTAAAAGCTTTTCCGAGACAGTTTAACACTTTTAACATAAATTTAGCAATTTGAACACCCGTATATAAAGCCTCAAGCTGCAGGTTTACTTAAAAATCGTTCGCTAATCCCCATTGGAATATTATCAAGGCAGAGAGAATTATTTATACCGAGTATATCACCAAATGTGAGAAGAAAATAGGATAAAATAATGCTTCTTATACTATCACGGAATGAATATCAGGATCTTCGAAAGTTATAAAAACATGTTAACCGTTCCTTATTTTTTTACGTATTCCGAGCAAGACTGTCCAATTTTGCACAAATATGTTTTTCATCAGCCGGTTAAGCATGGAATCCCAAATGTTTTTGGGGACTGGCACGTAAAATTCACAGGGGGTGGAGTCCCACTATAATAGATGTATATGGTAATAGTATATATACACATATAAGAGAGGCAGACTAGTAGTGTTATCTCTAGGAAATTGCAAGCGGAAGCTTGGCACTTTAATAAAGGATGCAAGCTAGCATACGGTTACGTACTATCACAATTTCAGGTATATCAAAAAATATCAGACTTATCAGATGTAAGTTAATATTTAATTACTTGATCATAAAATTCCACCGTGATCAGCAGTCTGTCATGATACTGAAAAATTGTAAAATGTAAACAAAAATTTTTTTTAATCAATAACGTACTATTATATCAATTAAGTTTTGTAACTATTTTGAAAGTCTTAATGTATAAGTTAATTTCATAATCCTATCAGTTTCGAAGTATTAAAATAAAAATCATTAAAATTATAAATTTCTTTCCAATTCGGTTGTCATGTGTTTGATTCAAATCTATTTTTATGGTATTTAGAATTCAATTACGTTTGAATTAAAAAAAAATTCAGAATCTCTACATTTTTAATAAAACAATTTTTAATTTAGAACAAAACTTTCTTTGTTACCATACTTATAAACACTGTGACACTGTCGTACATGAAATAAAAATTGTAACAAAATTATTGTACTTGGAGACGTCTACGTTATGTGTAAATGTTTTGGTCATCTATTTTTTTTTTTTTTTTTGTTAATAAATATTAATAATAATATTATCTCCGTGACTTTCAACAACATTAGCATTGAACAAAGACAAGCTTTCATGTAAGTGAAACTTAACCTGTAATAATTATACAACCTATCATACATTGAAAAATTAATCAGATTCGATTAGGAAAAACAAGCAGGTACACCAACAACATTAGAAAAATTGAAAATCACAGAAAATAAATTTACTGTGCAAGCAAAAAGTAGCAATTATTGAAATTGTTTGAAAAGAAGAGTTAGTACAATGTGGATTTCATAAATATAAATAACAACACTTTTTCAAATATACAGCACAATAGCACATATATTTATAATCTGTATGATTCTATGACCTATTCAGAGTTGTAACAAGAATTTTTATCACTGTATTTAACAGTTTCATTCCATGAAATCAAGTTGTGAGATATTTGTAGTAAAATAACTTAAAAACGTTAATGTTTTGCATAGTACGTTGAGGTTTTTCGAAATTTGTTGACGTTCAAAAGATTTCAACTATGAGATTACGGTCTGATAAATCATATTTAAAATTTTTCTCAAATTGTTATATTTATACTTACATTAAATCAAATGCATTAAGTAACTTACCTGTAAGTTTGAATGTGATTAAAAGATTTGTTTTCTTCTCTATTTTCAAATGATGATAAACACACTTTTTCTCTGAGTTGATTTGGTAGAGTGGTATTATTTTCAAGTAACTTTTCGACTTCAGGGACATCTGAGGGACTGCAAGAATACTTCACTTAACTTGAATAGTAAATTTTATTGTAAAAGATTTATGTAAAGATTATTTTATGATATTAAAATTATTCAAATCAAATTTTAGAAAATGGTTTTGAGAAAAAAAGCTTAGATTTAAACGTTTAATCACAATTGTACGAACTTTAATGGCCTTAGCGACGTTTTATACATTGTTGAAAATAAATTTTCTATTTTTTCGGAATTTTTAGATGGTCTTGGGTATACGTTTTTTTTTTCTACTTGCACGTTCACCATTGTAACCTAAAAAAAAATTTTTTTATGAGATGCATAGTTTTAAAATTGTTATTAGTAATCTAAAGAAAATTTGTCACTTGACTTAATATAAAAACAAATTTTTAATTGTACTACCATATTTACAAATGATAGGTTCATTTTACACTTGAAAAATCAACGTCATTGTTTATACTATGGTTGTGTTACCAGTATAAATGAATAAAAAATATTTGAGAGTTTAGTATGTGAAAACAGTGATATCTAGAATTGTTTATGTATACGCAAGAGCGTATGTTAGTATAGCAAGCAAGCTTATATACTGACAAGCCCAAGAGAGACAATTTAAATGTAAGGCATTGGTCTACTAACGCATGTCAGGGGCTAAGCAGCAAGCTACTACCTCTAATTACAACTAAAAATACAGTGGCAACATAGTGCATACAAGTGGTAAGCTATTTTGCGATGTTCTAGTGAACCTGTAAGCAAGTTCCTTAGCTATAGAAAGGTCTTCAAGAGCTAAAAGGGACTAAATAATGAGTGAAAAAAGCGTTAACAAAAAGTTTTGTGTGATTTCCAGGGCAATAAGACCAAAGTAAAGACAATGGCAGCAACTACTCTTGCCTACTACGATCAAGACTATCTTTGGATGGACAATGTTGGGTAGAATCACTAGTAATACTATTTTCAAAGAAGTAATTTGTGGTAATTCTTTTTATACTATATAATCTGTACTCTTGCCTGCAGTTCTACTTGATGTAAGCACATCACTTACATACAGGCACAGGACATAAGTGCTGTGATCACTCAGACATGCACGTCAGCAGCAACTCTTATCTGATGAATATATTATTCAAAGCCCTCTTTAATAAAGTTGGAAAACTTATCGAGTATCGTCCTTGTTTTTACTAATTAACACAATGAAGTACTTAAATGTCCAGAAAAAAAATTGCATCATCGACAAAAATAAATTTTTAGAGTCGTACTACTAACTAGTGTTTAATTAAAACTGACGAAACACAATTACAAATACACTACTTTGAGGCATACTCTACTGTATACACAAGTTCTGAGCAAATACATCAATAGCAGCCTTCTCGTTTCTGTGTTGAAGTGTCCTTTATATTTACATTTTTTATATGTATCCCAGTAGGAATCTACACCCTGTGCACTCCAAGCATCAACTTCCCTTGCTATTGAATTTTATAAATAAGCAAGTGAAAAAACCTTACTTTTGGGGTATCTATGAATATATTACATATAATAAACTTAAAAAACGTAATATGCGCGTACCTTAAGGAACAGTGACTAACCAATCAAATACAAAAAAATTTACGTACGTATGTAGCTGTAAGTATGATTAAAGCATAGAATAAGCTTATTTCTAGCGAAACTTAGTTGCAAAGCGTCCAGAATTTTTTGAACCTACGTCACACCCTACGGTAAAAAGTCACCGAAATTTACCAAATTTAAAATAAAAAATTAGATTTAAAAAAGTTACGCAAGTCTGATATTATTTGGAACGGCGTATCAGTGATGCCAAAAAGGACTTAAGAAATCTTTGATTGTAAGTAAGGAGACTTGTCCATTACTAACGAAACATATGGCAACAAATTAATAACTATAAGTCGTGATTTTAGTCAAATTCTACCAATTGTAAAAAATGAAGATAAAACTACAATAATTAAAGAAACTATATAATTTGCGTATCACTCACCTTTTGTTAAGAACTTCAAATTAAAATCTAGTGTACAATCGATAAACAACAATTTTTCAGTGTTACTATCAAAATTATGTAAGGAATAAATAGAATCCAATAAATAGTACAATCAAAAAGCCATATCTGGAGTGTGTATTGTTATTACAATAAAAATTGTCTACGTTCACCGCTCAAGAAGGCCTCTTAGAATAAGTATAATCATTAAAAAAAAAAAAAAATTAGATAACAAACGATATAGGTTTATGAATTTTCAGTAACGTTTATGATTTTACACTAAGTAACGTTATTTTAACATCTCATAATCAGTACAGTTTTACATCATTTTTTAGATGATAAAATCTTAACAGAAATGACCGGAGAAAGTAAGAATTACTACATCATACGTTATGCGGTTTATACAGAAATTAACAAAACTAATAATAATATTTACATAAATTTTCCGACGGAATGTTTGAATTTCATTAGATCAGTTCTACTACTTCAAAAAAAAAAAAAATTTTTTAAACCAATGCCATTGTCATCAGTAAAAAATTTATGGATTTCAAAAGGATATGTAATAGCACAAGACTTAAAGTAATATAATAATTAAGAAACAACGTTTAAGATTAAGCAATTACTGCTAATAAGAATTTGGATAAAAGTTCTTATTACCAGAATAACATTATATACAGGACCCTCATAGTCTTTTCTTTTTATGTTGTACAGAAAACAATTTCCCTAAAAGTTGGATTTTTTTATGACTACTAATAAGTCGTAAAAACAAAATTAAAATAAAATTGGGTTTCAATTTTGAAAAATTTCATCAACAGAAATAGAAAATATTAATGGTTAAGTAACGCTTAATCCTGACTATAATGATCATTCTAATCGAAAGTATAATAATGACCAAAATTTTAGAAAAAATTATGGATGTAACGGAGTATGTAAATCAAATAAGAAATACCAATGACCTGCAAATAATAAGTATAGTAGTTATAGCAATGGGCACCCAAATTAATACTATACTCATTGTAATTTCAATTTTAATCCTAGCAGTAATCAAAAATACTTTGGCAGCAGTGAAAATTTTCATAAAAACCTCCAAAATAATTATTAGGTAAATAAAGCAATGACAATCAACAAAATTTTAATTTTTATTATCAAAGTAAATTTTTTAAGATTATCAAAAGCCAAAAGACGAATGTTCGCCACGTCATTTAGAGGTTAGGCCTTACTGTTCCAATCAGAACTCGATGCCAAGTACTGCAGCATAAGTAATAAATATTGCAATAAAATCGAGACCGTGAATACTGGTACATATCAAGGCATTAGAGTGTATAATAAGCCGACAAGTACATAATTACGCATTCCTGAAGGAAGAAGTCAATACATGACTTTTATGCTTCATAATGAAGCCGAAACAAACTAAGTGAAAATACATCAATTAGATCGGGAACTCCCGATAAAGTTAAGGAAATAATTATTTCAACAGGGAAAACATCTAAGTCTATCTCAACAAAGGAAACTGTAATCATAACGATAAAAAAATCTACAATTTTTCAGTTTTTCAAATGATTTTTCCATTAAAGATGGCAGATTACTCGTCGAAACTTTTGTGATGAAAGACAATCCACATTATCATACTATTATGATGCAATAGTGGTTAGACAACGATGTGATAAATTTCATTCAGTTTTAAAAAACACCTGAACAAATACTATCATTAGAAAAGGAAGAAAAGGTGCAAGCCACTCAAAAACTCAAAAAACAAGCTTTAGAAAATTGTGAGAGAAGGTAGCCTTCAGACCGTTCATTGTCCTGAAATCAAAGGTAACGAAACCAATCAGTGTAAATGAAGTAACTTATTAGACGACAAATCTTAATTTTACTTATCAGATAACATTCCCGATTGTTAAAGCAACACAAAACAATACGTCTCTAACTTCGAACAACAAAATAAAGGTATAGCAGTCATATATACTATTCCAGCTGCTCATATTAAGTTAAACAAAATAATATAATTAATACTAAATTGATTAAAGTTACTTTCCACGAATTCATGCAGAGCAAGATGATGTTCATTTAGGAAAAGAAATGATACAAAATGAAAATGGCAAGTGTAATATTATGGCTATAAATACCAAAGATACAAATGTAATGATTGAAATAGACCCAAAAAAATATAGCTTTTTAAATAAGTAAGTCCTAAATTTTACCTGACACTGTTGGTGAAGAAGAGACTCCCATGACAAAAATAATTTTAAGTAGGTAAAAGAACTTCAGAAACTTTTGTATATAGGCCATTTAACCTAATAAGATCAAGATAAAATTTATGACTTAATTGAAGAATATTTTGACATCTTTTCACTACCAGGAGATCCTACCCTGAACGACTTTAGTTGCAGATAAGATCCCGATGAAATAAAATATTCTTATTAATACCAAACAATATCATCGTCCACAGTATACAGAAAAGTTCTACGATCCCATTTAACAAAGAAATTTAATGATAAAATTATAAAACTTTTTTCATTACCATACCATCCACCCTTTCGGATTGTTCCATTGTTTTTTGTAAAAAAAACCAAAGATAGGCCCAATACTCATGATATCCTTGGTAGGACTTAATGTATTGTCAATAATTATTAGTAAAACTTTCACTCATCTCATAACTACAAAAGTCTTTCAAAAGAGATTGATCAGACAAAACTTCAAAACGTTTCGTACTTATACANAATACAGATAAATTGAAACCTGGACTAATAACTGAAACATTATTAAAATTATTCGAGGAATCACGTATATAAATTACTGTCTGTTACAGTAAATTTAATTTTTCAAAATTTCAAGAAGGTACTTAAATAGTACAAACACTACACGACAGCTTTGTTAAAGAACACAAGGAAACAAACGAAATTCGACCAAAAAAAAAAAAAGATTTTATTGGCTTGAAATCAGAAATGATATTCTTACTCACGTTCCTAAATCTGGTAAACGCCAAGAAAACGAGATTGAACGAATAAAAAGTGAAAACTTTTAATGAAGTTTCCATTGATAATGACAGTTGAGTTGATTCAAGAATGACACCAATTGGTACTTTCCACTTGTTAAAAGTACAGTGGAATTTAACTACCTATATCAAGTAAGTCCCTGTGACTGGGTTAAGATCAAGCGCTCTATCTGATGCACTTATACAAAATTTTATCTTGATTAACAGTGCGTCTAGAGCAGTTGTATCAGACAGACATGCTACATTTAGGTCTAATTCATTGAAAAAACTTATGAGAACCCTAAAAACAAATCATCTAACTACA